CTGTTATTTATAAGAATACATACCGTAACCGCAGCAAACGGCCTTATTTTACATGAGTCTGACAGACTCACCTTGCCCGGAATAGGTTGTAAAAAAGGTTGCCCGGATGAGGGTTAAGATGAATTCCCACGGGAATATCATTCGCAGGGTGACATCAAATAAGTTTTTTCACTTCGGCAAATCAGGCTCACATGGAAATATGAAACTTGGCACACGATAAGCCGTTCTGACGAGGAGAGCTGAAACTCGGCATATAGGTTCTTGTCGTGACGTAGTTCTCTTGAAAACTCATCCTCTTTTCGTGCATTCCCTGTTTGGCATACTTTTTTGGAGACATCTCCCAAGAAAATCGTTTGTCTCACCGAAACAGGAACATAAAGAAAGCCGATATTCTGAAAACACACGGTTCTATGCAGGGCCAACCTTAGGCGTATGCCACCTGTGCCCCCCGCACAGGGCGCTAATTCACAAGGGGCGCCAAAATGCGACCGAAGCAATAATGGAAGGCGTCCGCAGTCTCCGTCTGGAGAGCTGTCGGGCTCGTCGACACCGGCACGAGGCCGAGATTCTCGTATCATCGTTTCGTGCGAGTGAAATCAGAGAGCGCTCGCACACATCTGCCGATAACCTGCTGATAACACACCCTATCTCAACCATCGCAGTTCTCCATCGTGAAGGTGCTAGACGTCGCGCACGACAGATATCTAGCCGGTGAGTGTGGGCATCGTGTCATCTGCACTCGACCGTCTTGGGCTTATCGACTTTGTGCGTGAACTCGTATTTTCGTTACTGGTTTTTCGATCACGAGAGTGTGGAATAGCCAAGGGAAGAGTTCCTTCCAACGAACCTAGGCTAACCGAAACGTGCACCTCTCGGCTCGGCACACTCCCGCCTTCGGTCACGGCTACAGAGGCGTAGAGAGGGGGGGGGCAGTTGCCCCCGAGCGCAGGGCTGAGGGGGGCGCAAACTCAAAAACTCGAAAGTTTACGTGCACACCCGTGCACGCTGCCACGCAGATTCGGAGCCTGCGCGGTCTTTTTCACTCAGTGCCTGATTTATCGAGAACAGGGATCGTCAAACCGTTTAGTTCCACGACTTCTCGTGGAGGCCAACAGCCTGCGACCCCCAACTTTTACCATTCCCGATCGAAAACGACTTTAGTCTCACGTTTCAGAAATGCAAGGTTCCTCGACTCGGCATGACGAAAACGAGCCGGATCGATTCGAGCATGTCTCATTCAATTCTCGGTCGTAGAAGGCCTCCAGTTTCGTGACGATTGCCGTCTTTGCTTTGGTCCGTCGAAGAACTTCCCGATTTCAATGCCTCCACCACCTACACAGTACATGTCTGGAGGATGCATTCCCCAACGTCTGCATTCCCTCGAGAATTCTTTTCGCGATCCCAGTTTCGTCTTCGAAACTGGGATCTTCGGCTGGGATTAGTCTTCGGCCGAGCGAAGCATTTCGAAGTCGAAGCTCATCCCAAGTATACGTTTGATGATGCAAGACTTACTACAACATCCATAGGAATGAAATTTGCGGAGAAATGGATCGTGCGGAGTTTCCTATGCTTGCCGAGCAGATAGCTCTCAAAATCACCTTAAAGTGTTGCGTGATGTTGAAGTTTAACACATTATCTCCAGGGGGTGTGACACAATTTTTTTGAAGTCCGCAAAAAAAATTTATAACTTCGGAACGCAAAATGTTAAAGACTTGCTCTTTTTTGGAAATTGAAGTATAAGGTCTGTATTTTATTGTGGGAAATTACGTAAAAATGTGAACATTTTCAAATGACGTACAATTGCGTCCACCGTTGCTCGATGCTAGTTAGGGCTGGACGTACATTTACGTCCATCGCATCGAAAGTTTTAACCGTCTCTCAATGTGCAAAGTTAACAAGAACTTATTTTCATCAATCTGGGAGCCGAAATAGCTACGGCCGGCCCTGGCTCTATGAATCCAAGGAAAGTCCTACTCTTGAGGTCATTCCCTCAGGGGTCGTCGTTCTGAGAATTTTTTCGCTCCAGCGAATCGGACAGCTCTGGAAAACTGAAGAATGGCATTGAAATATCTGATGGGTTGGTGATTTTAGGAAACATTTTACTGCTTGGGAATATCCCCTGGGGATATGTATTTTCTTTATCTGTTCGCCAGTTGTTTTTCGCTACAGCAAAACGGGCAAATATAAGACATTCAAATTTAAATTTTATCGGAAATTTTGGTTCAGGAAAAATCATAAGATTGGGGTCCTGCCTCCCTCAAGATCCTTTCTTGGGGTGGGGGAATGGATAACCTTACAAATTTTCGCTCAAGGAAAATTATTCTTACATTAATGCTTTAAAAAGTTACTGTTCGAAAGAAAAATCCCAAGGGGACGCTTCAGAGGGAAGCGAAGAATATCCTTTGGCTTAATGTTACTGTGTGGATTGCTTGAAACTGATTTTAGCCTAATGGAGCTTTAAACCTCCTTTAGCGGCGCTAAGTATTTCCATGGAGTCAATAGTCATCCTCAGAAGAGCACGGAAACTATAGGGATCTTCATCCCGTAATTCTCGGAAAATATTGGCTTCGAAACCTTTTCTCGCCTCCTTGCCAGCCATTTTTGCATCCACACACGTCAGTCACGTTTTTGACCAGTGACATGCTCTAACCCTCCTCAATAAAGTCCCAACCAGTAACAAAATTACTTCAGCAGTCAAAATTTCACCCTGAAAACTCATAAGGTCTTCTCATAGCGTCTAATCACCTGCTCATAGCAAATTCACTCATATGGGAGCAGTCATATACGAACAAAGTCATAGCGCGTGATGGCGCCTTAACTAGAGGCGACACTCCCGCTCGAATCCCATTCGTTGACAAGGTCGCAATATAGATGTCACTGTCGATCCTCCACCTGGCGAGCTCACATCAATAATTCCTCCATGGCCAAGAGGTGGACTCGACGAGGCACGCGTTACGTAGAGGGATCCCTTTGGGTCGTAACTCCGATTCTGCTGCCACTATGCACGCCTAACGGAAGTATTGTTAACAAGCCACCAGCTGTTTCTGTAATATTTCGACCCCCATCCCCTCGGAGTATCGCCCCAAGTTATATTATTTAATCTATCGTCAAAACGTCAGAAAGGCGTTCGGAGGCTATCCGTTGCGGACATTGGTGTACATGGCACTCGTCAAGCTTATCATGAGTTCAAAAATCATTTATACATGATGCCTGCATATTCCCCCCATGAGCGGCACGCCATTGTCAGGCGGAGGGGTCAATGGGACGTCACCCTCTCCCTTCCTGGAATCGGAAGATACATGGTATTTAATGTCCCCTTTGAGGATTAAAAGTGTAGCAAGGTTTTACTGGATGGACATAAATGCCTAACAGTCCTAGTGGAGGATGGCTTCATTCTTGGTATATGTAACAGATCCATACCCTCGGGGATATGAACACTATTACAAGTTCTTCCATGTTTGAACCAAAGTTAAGGAAATTTGGTCACCATTACCACTTCACACAGATATAGTTGACAAAACTCCTCCTCCTTTCTACTTTGCATTAGGATTTCAATTTTCCAAATGGAATGGATCTTCCTGAGACAGAGAGAAAATTTATTTTAACTTTAGCAGTAAAGAGGCATATTCAGCAAAATGCTAGTCATTGGTGGCTGATTGGAATTTTAAGAAATGACTTTCTCTGTGTAACTCTCAACAGGAAGTCAATTTCCTAGAATTCCAAGTCACACAATGAATTCACAGCTGCACACTCTTAGGTCAAACAGCCTTAATACAAAAACAACTCAAATTTGTCTTTTAAAAAATCACCAAAAATATTTGGTAGGGTGAAGAACAATACTAGCATTAATATGCAATGACATGAGTGGGGTGAGAACAATTCCATTCATAACTCATAAATATGTAATCCTCCTTTATTCACAGTGGATATTGAACTCTGGGTTCACAGGGAAAAGTCGACTTTAAAAAATCACTACGACTTGAAATACAGTTTGGAGGTAAGTGAGGAAGAGATGAATGAGTGATGTGTTGCCTGTATGGACGTTTTCCGGTTAAAAGAATGCTAGAGGGAGACAGAGCAAGGGAAGCATCAGCTGCATGATCAACACTTGCCAACATTATAACAAGAAATGCCTGTCAGGGGTATTCTAGCTGTCACAACAGACACCAACCTGCAGGGTCAAATCAAAAGAAATAGCAAACTGAGGAAATGATGCAAAATCTACTCAACTGAGAGAGAGGACACACTGAACCATCACAGTGACAGAGGATAATACTCCTCCATAAAGTCGCTTGCGAAAAGGACAAACAGTAGAAGAGTGGCATCGAGATCATGCAGAGGAATTACTGGGGCTGGAGGCACTGTTGAGACTGGGTGACGAGAAGGGACGACTCTTCATGGAATGTGAATGCCCACACGAGGATTGACATCCCCTATGAACCTACATATATCCAAAGTTCTACATCTAATAGATTGCTAAGCACAGATGCCCATCAAAAAGAAGAATAAGGAAACAAGAAAGCAATAATGACCAGCAGGCAGACAAATGCAGGATATAAGCAACTAAAGAGACAAAGCCCAGTGGGATGGGGAATGGGAGAGGGAAAAACTGACCTGGGACCAACAGGTTAATAGGATGACCTTCACCTGATCCATGGGGATCCAACAATCCCAATGCACTCCTGTCGTCCACAAAACTGCAATGTTCAATCATGAGCTCTCAAGCCATTCATCAATTACCACTCAAAAATCTCTCCCCCCCTTCTTTTCTTGCCATGCCATGTGGTGATAGTTAGTGCAAGCAGAAGCCCCCAAGCCCAAGAGAGGAAGTGAATTTGGGGGAGAAAGGACAAGCCTACACACAATTCCCACAATTGCAGACTTTATTGGCATTTGGAGTAAACCAATCCCTTCCTCTCCATCTTCTCTTTTGCCTCCATCCAAACAACTGGCATTGGGAAATGGCAACTCTCCAATACTGTTAAACTCATACCAAGACATACTGTTGTAATGAAATCAATACCATCACAAGGGAAACAAGGCATTAAAAAAATACTTGGGGGTGAAGTTGAACTTTGACTGAGACATGAATCACAATTTTGAGATTGCAGTCACAACTTGTGGTTTTAAGCTATCCTTTGTTCTTCTTTCAGAGGCTGTCAATCAGTACAACAGATCTAGTTTAGCTACAATTGAAGGATATGCCCTGAAGTAGAGTATGGTACATATATATCATGTAGAGATTTGACCTGAGTGAACATCTCATATTAATGAAATACTTAAATAAGAAAAAGGAAAAGCTCTTGAGACAGAGAGAAGAAGAGGAGAGAGTTAAAGCCAGCTACATGAATGAATATGTTTTATGCAAGAAATTCACTTGATATTGACCATCAGAGAGGATAGGCTGGTCCAAGGCTTCAAGCCCAAATAGAGAAACACAGAATGATAGAAGATAGAATGAAGAGACATGCAAAGGAAAAAAAATTAATAAAGGCAAGGATGAGGAACCAATAAGCAGGGGGGGATGATCACAACTCCTCAGAAGAAGATCTCCTTGTCAACATACAGGATACGCATGGTATTGGTGAACCCAGCTCCCTTCCTCCATCCGGTGATGACAACCACAGGATCTCCCTTATTGATGAATCCATCAGCACGGCCAAAGTCAATTCCGTGTTGCACTCGCTTGTCCACATCCATGATCCAGTCATCCATTCGATCAACTGAAGATAGTAACATGTTGTGGCTGGTGACAGCAACATTGACAAGACAGGGCATAAGCATTAGTCAAAGAGAAACACCTACCTTTATACCAGATGGGGACAATCCCCCTCCAGAGGTGACACTGCCGTGCCGTCTGTTCATGTCGCGTCACAGCAATGATGGGGCATCGTGGTCGATACTTGGATACGAGGAATGCAGTGCGTCCTGTTGTGGTGATTATGATGATTGCTGCCGCCAGGCAGTTGTATGATGCCTTCACTGATGCTATAGCAATCGAGTGAGTTGCATCGATTGGAGATGGAACCTGTAAAGGGGCAAGGGCAGAGATGAAGAAATGGAAGAATTAAAAGGAAACATAAAATGAGGAAACCATGGAGTAGATTTGAATCCTCCTACATAGTTGGAGAGTTCAACAAAGTTCTGCTTGTGCCATATGGTGGCTTCTGCCTCCCGGCAGATGTTCACCATGGTTTGGACACAGGGCACAGGATAGTCTCCTTTGGCTGTTTCCCCACTAAGCATGACACAGTCAGCCCCATCCAGGATTGCATTGGCCACATCTGACACTTCAGCTCTTGTCGGACGAGGTTTCTTCACCATGGACTCCAGCATCTGTGTTGCACAAATCACTGGCTTCCCCATCTATAACACATCATGAAGAAGAATGACATGAAAGGGTACCTCAAAGACCTGTGGGTTATCGAAGGAAGAGAAAAACATTTACGATATTGCACTTGGCAATGAGATTTTTCTGAGCCACAAAGACTTTCTCAGGTGGGATCTCAATTCCCAGGTCTCCTCGGGCCACCATGATCCCATCAGAAGCTTCAATGATCTCATCCACATTCTTCACCCCTTGCTGATTCTCTATCTTACTGACCACAAGGATGTTTTTCCCATTCTGCCCTGAGTTGGCTATTGACAGTATAGAATAAATAAAAGGGATCAGTCATGAGGGAGAGCAGGATGAAAGAGTATAGAAGAAACAAGGGACATGATAGAATTACCCAGGATATCCTTGATTTCATGGACACCAGCAGCCTCACGAATGAAGGAAGCAAAGATGATATCCACTCCCTGCTCCACACCAAAGGTGAGATCAGATCGATCCTTCTCTGACACGGCAGGAAGATCGACAGGAGAACCAGGTAGATTCACTCCTTTCTTGCTACCTAACATACCTCCATTCTCCACCTCACAGTCCAAGAAGTTATTTCCTGTGTGGGGGTGAGGACTCCTTGCAGCTTTCTGGCATTCTTGCAAAAACTCATGATAGCATATTCCATTTGAAGAAGGGACTGATGTCATCCACAGGGCTGCGAGCACTGAGGAACTACTGGGTGTTGCACATAGATAGCCCCCCTTCCACAGCCTAAACAATAGAAGCTAGAACATTTAAATATATATATATATATATTGAATCTTTGTTCAATTTTGATTCTATCTAATCCAGTTTTATTGTTTCTGATGTCATATGACGTTGAAAAACTTATATTCATTGATCGCATCTGTGCTATTACATTTTGAGAAGCTTGGGATGCCAGAGCTGAATTCATTACCCATTCATAAGTTTAGAAAAAAATTAAACATTCAGCTTCTGCCTGATAAAGCCCTGTTTTCCAAAGCTTTGACAGCACGGCAAATGCTGAAAGACTCAGGGATTATCTTTGGAAATGCAGAATTGCAGGGAAACTCCTGATCTAAATGTGGCTGAGAACATTGGGGTTATCCTGAAAGATCAAATTTTGGCTCTCATGCATATGAAGGGCAAGCAACATGAATTCTCCTGAGAAACCTTGCAAAGCAACATCACCAGAGTGCTGAAGTGAAGGGGCATGGAAGATGACACAGAACTCTTTAAGTGTCTTTTTTCATCTCACCCTGCTCACCCTAAAGCTGTCAGACACACAGCCAAGGTTCACACAAATGACTAAAAGTACATGGTTAGATTAGAAAATGAATGCTCTTTCTCATGACTTAAGAGTTTTTTTTCCTAGCTCTTATAGTTTAGGCTGTGGAGGTGGGGGGCTATCTATGTGCAACACCTGGTACAAGTGCTTCTGAACCAGTGAGACCCCTTACATCAAGAGTCATGCTTAACATCTGTCCTTTCTCCACGTAGAATGTACTTTTTGGCTGATATAGAACTGAAAATGGAAAAAGACACCAGGAAGAACTCACCAATATTTTGGACAATGAGAGAGATGAGGCCATCATCGATGTAGACCTTCGAGCCCTCCTTCACTACTTTTGTGATGTTACCATAGTCAGTATAGATAATCTTCTCAGAGCACTTCTCCATGTACTGAGCATCAGTTGAGATGCGAACTTGTGCCCCCTTTACCATCTCCACCTCTGCAGATGCACCCTACAACCACGTAGTGACAACTGCCATTCTCTTCATTTCTAATACCCTCTTCCATAGAGAGCAAACATTCAAGAACAAGCTAGGCAAGCCCAGTCTAGTAGTGGGATGTGGCAAGCAGGTTGGGAAATGAGAAGAGAGTATGATGAGTAGCACTGCCAGATAGGGCATGTGTGGCTTCAGTAAGCAATCATATAGGGTAAAAGACCCAGTGATGGACCGGTCCCCAGTGATGGGCCACAGCACATCAAAATTCCAATAGCAAAGCTTCCAAACCAAGCCTACCCATGTTGTGACATATGCTAGCAGTATTCAAGCACATAGACACTTTAGAGGTGTTCATGGAACAAATACATGGAACAAATGCCTAGTTTTTGGAATTTTCCTGCGAAGTGGCCCATCACTGAGTACCCGCCATTAACAGGCCCATCACTGGGTCTTTTACCCTATCTGTTGCAGTGTACTGCCTCTTTCTCAGTTCCCCAACACTGGATTCATCACCTATGAAAGCTGGATGGGAACTGGCAGGTTTAGGTGGAAATATGATACCCCAATGCAATCCAGGTCAGGCAAAAGTGCATAAGGTTTGAGGTTGCACTCCAGCGAGACTGATGGCTGTTTATGCCTTCTCTGCTATGCAAATTCAAAAATCATGGTAAAAAATATCTTTTTGTAAGTTTTTTTTTCTTCAAAAAATAGCCTGAGTCTATCCCATATCTATGTGCATTTCAATATCTTCAGTGATCAGGTAAATATTCTTAGTTATTCTTGACCAAGTGTGAGACATAGACAAGATGGCACTATAAGAAGTTTCTTTCCTTTGAGGAAAGAGGTTCACTAAAAAATATTCTTACTCCTTCAAGGAGACCTGTACGGATCTCAGGGCCTTTGGTGTCCAAGGCAATCGCAATGGGGATCGGCCTCCCTATGCGTTCATTATAGATGGTATTTGCTTCTCGAATGTTCTTGATGGTTGCTGCATGATATTCATGTGACCCATGTGAGAAATTCAGGCGTGCAATGTTCATGCCTGCACGCATCATCTCAACCAATGTCTCTATTTGTGCTGATGCTGGACCTGTTCACATAAAACCAAACTTAAAAATGTGAATTTTTTTTCTTCTTTCAGTCAAGTTCCCAAATGGAATGCTCAAAACCCCACCAATTGTGCAGATAACCCCTGAAAGCCTTCGATCATGAGGTTGAGATTCAATGTCTAGACAGCAGCGGAATTCCACTGTGGTAGCTGCATCAGCTGCATAAAGCTGCTGACGTGGTGGAACAGCATCAAAGTCCGCCATGCTGGCTGATGGCAACTGTGGAAATAGAGATACAATAATTTTTATTAAGAACTACTTCAAAACTTTTCACCTATGGCTCCACTTAATTTGCAACCATAGAACAAAAGCTTTATTTTCAGTTGATATACAAGGTAATTAAAAAATCAGTTGACAGATTGTAGGACATTCTAGAGAAAAAATTATGCTACCCTCCAGCTCAGTGAAACTTTGTGAGCATTTTCAATACATCACAAGGAAAACATAAAAAAAAATTACATGCACACCTCATAGGGGGGGCTCTCTGTCGACATGACATCAAGCGTGCAATGTAAGAATTGTTCAATAAAAGAACTGTTCTCAGTGAATAGCTTCCTTCAGTTCTAGTAACAAAATTGGATTGCTGAAGCACTCATGACTTCAGATACTGCCACAACCGAAAGTCTGCAAGGTTAACAATGATCTGAGTGATGGTCACCATATTGGAAAGGTCTACTGATGAAGCTGTTCAAAAATGTTGATGAAAAGTGTCTTTGTGGGAGTTGCAACATGTAATACTATGTCATCATGCATGAAGATGGTATGTTTTCCCTGACTTGCAGCAATGGCAATATGCACAAAAACCATTGTATACAATTTGGTACACCACCACACATTGGGACTCCTGCAATGACACATCTCCATGACAACTTACAGTAACAAGTAACACCTGCCAAGGAGTTCTTCCTACCTGCTTCTGCTCAAAGTGCTCTAATTTCACTAAGTTTCAATGAAACAGGATAAAACTTACACAAGCAACTTAATGTCCATTCAATTAATGACAAGGCAATAACAATTTTAATTTTCCCTTCGGTTCTTGGAGAAAAGTCTAAAAACTTTGAGTGGCCCACATAATGCCACACTTATTGGAAGCAGTTGTGGATCTGAATGGGGGTCATTTTGAGGATTTCTGACACTGGCTTACATGTCAAGCCAGCAGCATACCCCTACAAGTTCTGTCTTTCAGTATTGTTTAATGTTCTCCTGGTGATGTACTGATACTACTCCCAAAGTTTCACCAAGCTGTGCTTTTATATAATTTTTCCCACAAAGCAACAACACCCCATGATAAATTGTCCAAATATTCATTACTATTACCTAAATGTTTTGGAGCATTAGCATGTGAATTTGGAAAACTGACAGGTAATGGGAAGTGGAAGACAACAGACTTCAGATTGGTGCTAAAATGTCAAGGCTAATTCTGCTCCTCTGCCTACAGCACCTACTGCAGTTCATGAGCATAGTACCAGCAATAGACTGGACTTACATATGGCAGTAAGAGAGTGATAAAGATCTACATATCATACTCCTTAATTCCAAAAATTTTGTACATTTGTCATTATCTTTTCTGACTTTCTCTGGAATTCACAAGAATGGCAAGAATAAAAGCTAAGTCTTGAAACTACTGCCAATTAGTAACTTAAGGAACTCAACTACCCATTCCATAAGGGTACATTGTATATAAAAGTAACATACAGAGGAGAGAAAATTAATGGCCTATACAAGGATTTTCCATATTTTTTGTAATATCTGAGAGTTTTCTGAACATTTTCGGTAACACTGATATAAAATGGAACAGTAAATGCTAATATATGCATTGTGATAATTAACAATTGCAGTTTTTCTCCTGAAATGATATGCAATATATTGTGTATATTGGATGTGAACCTACATTGAATGGTTGCCATGAAATGGAGGGCAACTTTCATGCTGACTTTATTATCATTTCAAAAGCAAGAAAGACACAAGTCCAAAAAAAGTTGGGAGAATTTAGGCTCATTCACTTCGCTTCCTAAGAGCAATTGTGAAGACAGAGAAGGTTTCAATAAAAACTGTCAGGATCAACAGAAAATCTCACCTTAGAATCCCCCCAATTTTTCCAGAAATACTGGGTGGCCCCAAAAAAAAGTTGCGAGCTTCATGTAGCTGCAGACGGGACACCATGCTAAGCATCATCTTGAAATTTTCAGTGTCATACCCAATATAGGTAGGTGGCTTTAGGAAAGTTCCCATGAAATTCCTTGCTCCAAACATGAGTAAGAGCTCTTTCCATACAAGTTGTCAAATGAGCAAGTGTGTCAGTGTGTTTGCTGGCGTGCTGCTTCTGCCCGCAATCCAAGGAGGACCCATCAAGCAGTTCTATCATTGAGTTCAGGCATGTTCCTTTGCACACTCACTCTTTTGACATCATGCAGGAGAAAAATTGTTACTTACATAGTTTACATCAATTTCAATGAAATTTTTGTTACATCACCTGCAAACATTGCATGTAAAAGCCTTTAAATTTCCTGTCGATAACTCATATGGTACACCGTCTGCAGTTGTGTAAAGTTCAGAACTTTTTTTGGGGGGCCAGTCAGTATAACTAGCAACTGCAACTTGGTGCAGTTTGTAGGATATAGACAAATAATTGTAACCACTATCATCTGACTTGCTCCACACTTTCAAAGAAACTCACCATGGCATAGCTGGGAACGCCTCCTAGCCTAGTCAAGCTGGGGTTGGAAATGATTTTCTTAAAACTTGGCACTGACATAGTGGAAACTGGCTTTTTCAAAATGTCCCCACAGTCCTGAAGAGCACTTTGTATTAACCTGCAGGAAAACAATATATATATAAATTATTAAACATAAGCAAATTAAATCACTTTTGACTCAATAGCTGAATAACCTAATGGATCCAGAGTAGTGACTTTTATGGATATAAATATAAATAATATTGTTAGGCTGATTTTCTGAATTCCTCTTCCTTCCCCAGTCTTACATTGTAATTTGGGTACCTCGGATAAAATGGGTTAGCTCAGAAAGAAAAATTAAAAATCATAAGGCAGAAATGTTAAATGTGTAAATCATGCACATGAGATGGGATGTCTATTATTTTGCTATTTGGATCAATCCATGTCAAACACCTGGAGGACATTTTTCAGGATACCTTTGATTTCGATTAAGTTTGGAAGGGTAAAACTGTGAATTCCGCAACGACTTTGGATCTCAAGTATTTGTTCCCTTGCTTCACTGGAGCTGACGGCGTCTGTGTGCATAGGACCATGCTGTATTATACCTTCGATGATACTTGAGGAAAAGACGAATCGGATGACTCGAAGCACGAAAGGATATGTCTCATTAGAATGTCCAGGGTTAGATTTTGTCGTGATCATCCTTCCTGATGAGCATTCGGCTTATTCCGCACCCCTTCTGCTGAAGCCGCAACACTATTCTGGGAATTACACAACCCTTACTTCTTCCATACCCCCTCGCCCTCCAAGGGCGAAGTAAAATTTCAGGCCCTTAACTTTGACAACGATGGATAATAGTTCTTCCGATGTTCAGATTTACTAGGAGTTCAGATATCAAGTACATCTCAACCGAACAAAGCGAAAAAGGACGTCTCCGAGATTTCCCATGACAGATGAAAGTAAAGGGCGTCTTTCGTCTTTTCTCTCGGTCTTTTTTTTCGGCGATGGAAAGTGGGGGGGCTTCAAGGCATGTTTAAAAGGGGAAGGACCTCTAACGTATGCTGTAAATTATCCTGCTGATATTATTTTATTTTAAGACAGTGAAATTATCATGCTCTCGATTTCCAATGTTGAAACATAATTTGCCAACCTTCCTCTATTATCATTTATGGTTGTTCGTGGCACTCCATATATTTTGGAGTCCCGCGCAAACCCATCCTGCCAGACTTTGCGGCGTCCGCATCTTGATCTTCCTGCAAATACTGATTGCTTGCCCTATCCTTCTTGCTGATTGCCATTGGCTATTTCCTTCGTCCTCTGGCTCTTGCTGTGTTTTGGTTTTACCTTTGGGGTTTCCCATTTATTTGCAAATGACGATGTGACCTGCATAAGCACGACAGAAAACTGAGCGATAAGGGTGAGAAATTAAAAACCTTGCCGTCAGGAGAAAACAGGAATGTTCCAACAAGAAGTTACGGAATTCAGCGATAGGTCATATTTCGATCAGACAATTCCGCAACGTCTGCACTTCTAATATTTGAAGAGATATTCGTATGAATCACTTTTTGCTAGTCGCAAAACCCTCAGAGGACTGAATGGACAAGCAATCTACAGTACCATATGTCATAAAATATAATTATAATGTTCAACACATACCCAACAATTGGACTCTCACTATTGGGCATGGTATTCAACGAGGAGCACCTTGCTTCCCTTGTCCACCACCAATTATTTGCCTTGTAGAGATGAATAGACGGTGATCGCATTGACGTCAGAGTACATAGGGCACTTTCCATTAAACTAAACAGGGTACTTTTTATTGAGGTTTTCACAGGGAAGAGTGGGAAAGTGATTTGTTACGGAATTACTTTCCAGTTTCAGGAGTGTTGCGGAATTCCCAGATTTGCCCCACTTTCCATGGCATACCCCAGGTTCCTCAGGTGTGAGATCCAAAAACAGGTCCAAGTTCCTTCTGGTGGAACCCTGATACTATCTTCCCAGGGAACTTCTATCCTAATTGAGTTTTTAAAAAAAAGCCCACTTATCTCTGGCTCATTTGTTGACTTTTTCAAGCCTTCTTCATAGGTATGAATATGATTTTGGCTAGGAGTCAAAAGTTAATTTGGAGTAAGGTCATTTTGATGACTTTTGATCTCTTATTGCCAAAAAGAACTTTGTAGATTTGAAAAAGAATTGACTAAACGGTATGAGAGATATGGCTGCCTCTTCATCAAATTATTCATTGGACACTCAGTAAATATCAGAAACATTGAGTTGTGTACATGAATTCAAATCAATTGAAGGCATTTAATTTTGTCTTAAGCCTGTAGAAGAATCCATTTAATTATAATTAAGCTGATGTTATTCTCAAAGATGCTCATGTAAAAAGAACACTTTCAAAATTATTATCTTTTGTGTATATGGCATATCAGAGCTAAATTAAGAAAAGTTTGTATTTTAATGCTTAACAGTACAAATCTGCAATCACTGTGACTTGACTTTGGAAAATGTCTGAAAATGGGTGAGAGGACAGCTTACATTGCTGAGTACCAAAAAAAAAAAGCAAGTTCATCAGCATTAAGCTCTTTTTTTTTTATATCTGCATTCCAGAAGATTGGATACAGCAGTTATTTAGCTGTATCCCTATAAAGGCTCATAAAGTTCTAAATATCATGAAATTCTGAACAGAATTTATTTGATTGGAGTAAATCTGAATTCACAGGACATGTGATTAGGATCAAGTGAAGGTTTTGGAGGTAGTGAATGTGGCAACCTATGACATAGGCAACAAGTTATCTGCCACTGTTGCCACTTTTGGCAACAGGCTGAGGAAAACTTTTGGAAGTACTGATCAGAGTGCAATCAGAAGGAATTTTTGCCTGAATTTTCATGACTGTATATCAAAGGAACCAGGAGTCTAATGAGTCCAACACTTTGTGTGAATCAATTCATCATAGGTACAAATAAACCAGAAAAGTTTTATTATCTATATGAAAAATAGTGCAGAATCCTATTACAGGGGAAGACTTTGCCTTAGATTTAGGCCATTAATGAGATTTGGTATTTAAAAAATTGTATTTCATTACATTTTTTTAGCTGTGAAGTGGCTAATATGGGTATGGGAACCCTATATTGCCACACTACTGCACTATTGCAATCAAGGACAAGTTTTGGGCTGATGCACTCTAATCAGCATCACCAGCAAATAATATTCCATCCTAACATACATAAAAATGCATTAAAACACCTGTCCCCTGAATAAAAATAAAAATTCCTGAAAAACACTGCTTGATTGCAAGAAAGACAAATACCTATAGTATGATTTAAAAAAAAAAAGCTACACTGTTTTCTATGGAAGAAACACAGTTTCATAAAGGCAAAAAAAAAGGTATACATTGGCTATGCGACTGACATTGGATGGTTACAAGGTGTTCAGATGTATGTAAGCATTTCTTCAGCACCCCTGCCTAAGTCATGCAATGCCCATTTAGAGATGAATTGAAGGTGCTTAGAAGTAGATCACGTCACCTCAAGTGAAGTAACAATCTATGCTCGACCATCTCAGAATTGAATGAAATTTGGCAAATGGTTTGATTATTTTGAGAATGGCCCACAGAAAAAAAATATAGGTCCATACTTTGAGCAGAGGCAGAGAAAAGTGAGTTTAAATTTTATCTTGGGGGTACTTTATGGCCCCCAACCCCCAGATAGTAAATTCCTGACTACATGGTTATGGTAATGTCACCATCCTATTTTGGTTGGCCATAACTTTTCAAGGAACAGTTGGATGCAGCTGATACTCAACAGAGTAGTTCATGAGTCTAAGAGGTTTTCTCAAATCTGCAAGATGGCACTGTATGTTGATAGAGGGTGCTGTTGCTGACTGGTGAGCCCCTATTTTTATGCTATGCCACATTTTAGGTAAGAGAAGAAAAATGTGAAAGGTTTATCTTTTTAGCCTCTGAACCTTACATGAACCTCTCTGCCAAAAAATATCAGTATTATCTGAGAGCCCTCTCAAAAGATTTGGTCTTGAAGCCAATTTAAAAAAATTAGAATTGAATCAAAATTGATTTAAGTCTCAAACAGGGCAAACTACTCTATTTGAATTTTGAGATGATGGAGCATAGACCATTACTGCATCTGAGGTGTAATGATCCACCCTGTAAACTTTGCAACAGGACAATGCATAACTCAAAGAATTGCTCTGAGAAAAACCCAGACAATCTTCTCAACACCTTGTATATGTCCAATATCAAGAGTCTATGTATCTTATAATTTTTGCTCGAATATATAAATCTTACTTTCTCCCATAGAAAATGGTGGAGTGTTTATTTTGAATCACCATATATATGAAGCCCTCAACAATATTAGACCTAACTGTGTGATGCAGGAGGCACCCTAAGATTCACTGAGAAGCCTTTAAAACTCTACATATTTCCCTTGTTTGGGTTTTCTTGAGCCAGACCTAATATTTTGTCCTTTTGGTTGTCTTGGAGTGCTGCCATAACTAAGGAAATGAAGGGTATGTATATTCATAGAAAAACAGAAATAAGAATGTGCAGCAAGTACTAGGCCTATAACCAACTGCAATGAAGGTCATCAAAGTGATTGCAACAATCCAGGAAATTCAGTGACTCAAAATATTCAACAGTCTACAGCTTACTAACAAAAGTTAGGCCAAGGCCTATGTCTAAGTTATTCATCAGCATTCCAAGCATGAGGGCATGGGCCAGTCAGATCCAAGACCTTTTCATAAGGGTTCTCTTCTTCCTTGGACAGTCAAGTTCATATCAGCAGTAGTTCTTGAGAAACACGTTGTCTCATTATTCTGTCTCTTGCGATCTTCCTTGATTTCTCTTTGAAATGAGGACAGGCCTCTAGAAAGAATATGATTATGCTAATATTTTCTGAAGTGTTAAAATCAGGAGTGAGAGAACCTTTGATCATTATAGGTAAATAAGCAAATGGCTAAGACATGCAGTAGCTGCTTCAATGCTTTCTTCTAATGAAGTGGACCATTCTCAAGATGCATATTGAGTTCAATTAACCAAACTGCCCTTGCTGTTGTGAAAATTTCCAACACAGAATGGTTAAGAAACATGGTACCTAAACTACCCTAAAAATGAAGGAATATGG